GGGGGGGGTGGCTACTAGTAGTAGCAGTAGTAGTAGTAGTAGTAGTAGTAGTAGTAATAGTAGTAGTAGTAGTAGTAGTAGTAGTAGGCTCAAGGCTCAAGCGATACCTCCAGTGCAAAGGCACACGGTCTTGAGCGGGAGATAGGGTAGTCTATCTGCAGAAATCGCTTGTGACACTGCGCCATGGCGCCTTCCAGCGGTGGGCTGCACTTCTGCTTTAGTGGTTTGGGGCAGCTCATAGGAGACTTTCTGAAACAATCAGGCGACGGGCTGTTCTACCACCAGGCCAGCCCCGAACAGCTGGAGTCTACGGGGAACGACTGCAGCTGCAATCTCTTTCATGGGTGCGAGTGCACTAGCGACATTTTGAGCAAAACCAGGTGGGCGAATGACAGGATGATGACAAGTAACAATGCAAGCGACACGGCCTCGACTGGCATTAGCTCTGGGTTCCCTGCCCGGTGCATTGCTGGCTGCAGCTGTAGACAGGACCGAGGACGACTACGTCATCGAGGCACTCACTGCGGGCATAGGGCTCGCAAGCATAGAGGCAGGGCAGCAAAACACTTTGTTCATGTTGCTCGCCGTTGCATACGACCTGCTCGCAGATTTCGTCGGGGAAAAATCAGGCGGGCTGTTGTGCAACGTCGGCGCGTAGGGCGCCACACTCAAGGAGCATTTCGCGAGCCGCCGGAGCAGCGGTGGCAACGACTCCATGGAGGAGTTCTCTCTGGAATGCAGGCTAGCACACCGGGGCGACGAGGATGCCAGCCTGCACTTGAGGAAGCGCGGATTGGTGCGAGCCGTGGATGGGAACCTCTTCCCCCTGCTCCACTACACTTTCACCGTGACCATGGTGCTCCCGACGGTCAAGTGCGGCCGAAATCCATTGGTGAGCCACAAGGTTCTCTCAACGACAACGTGTACCACCACCACGAACACCTCTCCGAGTACCCAGGGCCAGGCGAAGCTGCTGGTCAAGGGAACCCGAAAGGGCCGAGGAAATCCGGCGGTGGAACTTGGACCTCACCTTCTACTACATTGCCACGTCTTTGGTCTTCATCGTCTGCTACACCTTCGTCGCTCCAGTGTCTGCAAGGAGTCTTAGGTGTGCTGCCTAGGCGGGACAGGACCCAAGAACCTAGAAGAAATACCAGAAGGGAACCGGCCCAAATCCCGGAAGAAGGTTGTGGATTCAGCGGCCAAGAAGCTCTCCCCGAGCAGGTCGAGACAAGACCCACAGGGCAGATTAAGAAGTGCGACGGCCAAGGAGTTACCCCCGAGACGGCCGAAATAAGACCTGAAGGGCAGATCAAGACAGTCAAGGCTGCTCCCGAACCCGACCCGTTGCGATGTAGCCCCACAAGGGCTCCCGTAGGAAATCAGGATGCGCTGGTGTGTGCGAGCCATGGCTGGGAACGTCTCCCGGACACACCACTACGTTGTCACCGTGACCGTCGTGATCCCCATGGTCAAGTGCAGCCGAAAGGCCCCAGGATATCCATTGAGAAATCGACGGGTCTCCTCAACAACAACGAGTACCACCACCACGAGTCCCTCTCCGAGTACCATGGGCCCTGTGCAGCTGCTGGTCAAGGGGCTAAGAGACGGGCATTTTCCACGCTTGCAGTGCAGTCACGATTGGGCAGTCGGTGCGAGAATAGGAGAGGCCAACAACCCGGGACCGGGACCCGAGACCAGCTCGGGCCTAGTTGAGGGGCTAGGGCTGAAAGAAATGATCCTTGACATGGTTAGGGAAGCTGTGAAAGAAGCTATCAAGGAAGCCTTCGGAGCCGGCTTCCTTGGCTCGGCTTCCACTCCTCCCGTTGTTCAGTCTGCTACCGCCAATCAGGCGGAAAAAAGTAGGGGAAAAGGCGACAAGCCACAGGGCCGGAACGGCCAACCCGCGGCGGATGGCCATGCTAGTCAGACTCGTGCTGCTAAACTTGGCAAGGGGCGGGGAGGTGATAAGCCAGTCCTCTCTTCCAGTCATGACAATACATGGAAAACGGTGGAGCGTCGGTCTCCACAGGCGGAGTTCAATCTCCGCCCCCAGGATTGGGATTCGCCTCTGCTGCTTTTCTCTGACGTCGCTAAGGCGCTCGACAAAACGGCAGATGGAACATGCTTTTGTGCGGTTGTGCGGTGCGCTGCCGAGCAGCGCACGATCCTACATAGGATCCTGGCCGGCAGCAAGCATGCTTACAGCGTCTTAGCGGTTTCCATCGGCAGAGAAGCTGAGCAACCAGCCGACACGCAGCGTCGGGTTCCGGGCCGAGTGGGGGATGCACTTGCATTTCGACAAGCGACCGTTGTGCAATTCAAGTCGACTCCCGCCGGCAAGATCCCTCAACCCAAGGGCATGAGGCAGCAGGCGGTGAAGATCGTCCCCTAGGCCACGGAAGTGCTGGCGGTTAGGATCTCTCGGACTTTTGCGTCCAAGGAGCTCTGGGAATCTTTTGAGAAACCCCTCAGAAGTGCATTGTGCAGTGGCTTGCAGACAGACATGTCAATGCTCTGTCTGGACAGCTTCGCTTGGAAAGCCGAGAAGGGAGACGCTCAAGGGCACCAGCTTTATGGCCTGGTCAGATTGCTCAAGCCTGAGGCCGAGGCCGTTCTCCATGCATCCGGCCAGGACGGGATTTTCCTGGACCCGACGCGGTCCATGAACATAAAGAGCCGCATCGAGTGGGTGGAGCGCCGCAACAAGCAGGAAGGCCACTCCGAATATCATGCTCGTGCGATCAAGTGTGCTGGCGACCTCGGCTTGATTGTCAAGGGTAGCCGTTTGGCTGTCCGACGCACAATTAAAGACGATGACAACCTTAAAGACGAAATGACCCTTAAAAGTAGGGGCCCTCTACCCTCATACTATGAATTCCTATATGGCATATGACCCTTAAACCCTTTTAGGGTTCATTTCGTCCTTAAGGAAGGTTCCCCAAATCTGGATTTTCGAGCACGTGCCGCTCAACGTCGACCCTGAACAGGCCAAGGCCATCTTGGAGGAGTCGTTCGTTGAGGTCACCATGATGAGGGCTCGCGGCTCTAAGGGTGGACGATCCTTTTATTTCAAGGGGGCTCATGCTACCAATCCTGATGCCGACCTGGTCCCGATCAGCTTGGACACCGGCGATGGGATCATCACTGCTTGGGCCAGGGTGGCGCCGCCGAGGACCGCGAAAGTGCAGCAACGCCAGCTTCCTGTCACTGCGGTTCCACTTGCGGCCAGGCAGACGCTTCGGTCCATCACGCCAGTTCCGATGCCGGCTGGGTCAGGGACCACTCCGATGGAGGTGTCCAACACGGACACCAAGGAGAGCGACGGCCAGGATTCCGGTCAGGCCGCTCATAAGAAGCCGGAGGGGGGAGAGCCGCCCAGCAAACGGGCCGCTGTTGCGCCCGAGCTGCGTCAGGTTCCCCAGGGACTCAAGATCGAAGCTCAACCCAATGACGGTGCTTGTGCTTTTCATTGCTTTTCGCAGGGACTCATGAAGATCTCCAAGGGCAAGATTGACAAGCATCCTCGTCAGTTGCGTGCCGAGTGTGTGGAGCACATGCAGAAACACGCAGAGGAATACAAGGCGTCCTGGGACAAGAAAGGCCCCGACGGCAATGAGCTTGCCGACTGGGATTCATACATCTCGGCGGTAAGTGCCGAGAGCGCTTATGTTTCCGACCTCGAGCTTCGTGCATTGGCACGGCTGTATGATGTCAAGGTAGTATTGGTGCCACAACTTGCGTGCTTTCCTCCGGTTGTGTTTCATTCCGGTCAGAAGAGTCCCAAGCGCTGCTTGATGTTGTGGTACTCTGAGCGGCATCTGGACCTTCTTGTCACCGAGGAAGGCAAACGAGTGCCGGAGGACATTGCTGCGATCACGGCGGCGATCAACTTTGACTTGAGGGTTGGCGGTGGGCCGACGTCGTCGGCCGCTTCTTCGGCAGGATCGTGGGGAAGCCCCGGCACGGTCTTTACTGACCAGGGCAGAGCTTCACGATCTAAGCGGGGCGGCTCAGCAGCCTCTTCAAGCTGGCGATCTCAACCCAACACCGTGTGGACAGGCCCAGGGGTCACCTCGGGGCCACAGCGCACAGGCGGCTCCACCATCACTGCTCCCCATGCGGTCGAGGACTCGCTCGATCAGCAGGAAGCCACTGGTGCACGGTCCAAGCGTACAGTATACCACTGGCAGAGTCATGGGCTTCGGCGAAAGACAGTTAAGTTCTTCAAGTGTGAGCTGTGTCCGTATGTTGTCGCAGTCAAGGATGTGCCTGACCTTTGCAGCAAACGTAGCAGTCATTGTCGTCGTTACCATGGAGGTGAAGGACTGCCAGGGAACCGGACCAGGACCACTGACTACGTCAATCCGATCAAAGGTTCGCAGACCCAGTCTGCTTGGATCTGCCCTTTATGTCCTTATGGCATCACTAATCAGCTTCGGTCTGCTCTCAGCTCGACCACGGTTGTCCTTGCAAAGCGGCGACACAAGCAGGAGCACCGCCCGAGGGTCTCCGATGAGCGATGGAAGCGCCTGTGCAACATTCGGGGCCCGAACGCCTCAGCGCAGCGGGTCACCAAGATGAACCATTTCGTTGCCAAGCACCTCCGCGAGGACATCCAGCGCCAGGCCGAGGGTTTCCGCAAGTTCACGTGGCCTTTGCGTGTGTGTGTCAAGAAGACTGCCAAGATCCGCACCGTCAAGTTTCGCACTGCTTGGGCTTGTGATCGCTGTGGCAAATGCTTTAAGTTTCGGAAGGACCTCTCGGCCCATCGCAGCGTTTCGCGCTATCATCCGAACCCGTGCTCAAGTGATAAGGCTCGCAAGGTTCGCAAGTCAAATCTCAAGAAGCTCGGATGTTTGGAAACATGGTGCCGTCGCAATAGACAATGCCATGGATTCGATGATGCCAAGCTCTCCTCCATCTTCAAGGAGGCGAAGGCAGTGCTAGGAGGTGAGTATGTGCAGCCATGACTTTTTGCGTTGCAGCCATGCATGTTGATAGGGCGGGGGTTTGCAGGTTTCCTGACATGTCTCATTTCATGCAACAATTCCCGTGGACGCTTTCCGTTGCGGCAGCTCGACGCCTTTGACCTTGAGGGGCCAAGGTACACGACTACTTGGAAACAGGCGGGAGCTCAGGTTTTTCTTTCGGGGCCCGTATTTCCTGCCAGTCGACGAGGAGTGGGCTTGGTCACAACGTTGCATGGGGCTCATCACCACGTTTCGCGATATCATCCGAACCCGTGCTCCAGTGCCAAGGCTCGCAAGGTTCGCAAGCCCAATCTCAAGAGGCTTGGATGTTTGGAAACATGGTGTCGTCCTAACCGAAAATGCCACGGATTCGATGCTGTCGAACTCTCCTTCATTTTCAAGGAGACGAGGACAGTGCTCGGAAGTGAGTATGTGCAGTCATGACTTTTAGCATTGCCACCATGAATGTTGATCGGGCGGGGGCTAGTAAGTTTCCTGACACGTTTGAGTTCATGCAACAATTTCCCGCGGACGCTTTTTCGTTGCAGCAGCCCGACATCTCTGACCTTGAGGTGCCGAGGTACACGACTGCTTGGAAGCAAGCGGGAGCTCAGGTTTTTCTTTCAAGGCCCGAATTTCCCACCAATCGACGACGAGTGGGCTTGGTCACAACGTTGCATGGCCGGGCTCTTCACTTGCCGCCACACTCGTTGGCTGCTACTCGGATCGCGGCGGGGACTTTTCAGGTTCAATCCGGTGGCCAGCCGGTGCACTTGGTGCTCGGAGCCGTCTATGGCTTCCCGAATGACACTGAGAGCACCGACCAGGTGGTGCAGCAGTTCCTCGATGTGGTCAAACCGCTGCGATGCAGATTTGTGCTCTTCGGCGATTCGGCGATTTCAATTGACAGCGAGGCGAGGGGGGATTAATATTAATCTCCGCGGGGCACTTACGGTGTTTGGATGATGCTTTCCATGGTATTCTTCCGGCCACCTCGCCTACTCGGGTTAGGAGGATCGACTTCGCGGTGGCTCACTCGTCGATTGCCGCGACCAAGGTCATGCATGCCGATGGCCCCGCGGACCACGTGGCCGTGGCGTACACCCTCGACCTCGACATCAACTTTGCTGGGCACCGACTTCCTCCTCGTGCCCCCTTGGCCAAGGACCGTTGTGCTGACAAGGTGGTGGCGCTGTTTCAATCCTTCTGGTGCGAAACTGACTTTGGCCAATGCTTGCAACGAGAGCAACTCAATGAAGCTTGGGCATGTTTGTCGGCGACCGCTGAAAGAACATTGGGGGCTTGCCCGGGCACGGCCCAGCCTCGGGCTTTTGACCCCATGCCACAGCCTTCGGCTCAACTTCGACGGCATCTTCGTCCCCCTCGTGAATCCCGTGGACTTGGTGGACTACGACGGCTTCTTCGGCGCCTTCGCCAACTTGACCTCGAACCTGGTGATGAGCATTTGCGGCGAAACATCATGGTCTCTTTGAGTGGGCTGCGGCGAACTGGTGCCGGAGCTCCCCTACTTCAGTGACGAGCTGGAGGAGGCAGGTGCAGTCGTTAACAGGTTAGTGCAACAGTACGAACACCAGGAATCAACCGCTCGACTTGATCACTGGCAAACTTCCGATAAGTCGTTTGCCCAGTGTTGTGCATGGGTCAAGCGGAAGGCGGATCACGCTCAGGCGTGTTTCGGCCCGCCTCGCGACATTAAGGCGGCCACGGCCATTCATCCCACCCAGATACTGAGTGAGCAGAGCGATGTATGGCGCAGACTTTGGACGCAACCTTCTCATGCCCGGTTCGATTCCAGCTCTTTGCGGCAAGTACTTGCAGAGTTGCCCCGCCCGGTTGACACGCAGGTGGAACTTCAGATCTCCGCCGAGGGTCTTCGCAAGGCCACCAAGCGTATGATCAAGAAAGCCGGGGGCCCCGATGGGTGGGAGGCATCCGATTTGGTGCTGTTACCATTGGGCTTCTGGGAGGCAGCTGCGCGCCTCTGGAACAGGGCACTCGACTTGGGTGTTTTACCGGATTCGTGGTCCTCGGCTTTGGTCGTTTTGCTTCCCAAGCCGGATGGGCGAACCAGGCCGGTGGGCCTCCTTGCCATCATGTGGCGAGCGGGGGCACGATGCCTGGTGCAGCAACTTAGAGGGTGGGTGTCGTCGTGGACCACCCATCAGGCCATGGGTGGCATCGCGGGCGTGGGGGGCACGGACTCTCACCTTCGGCTCATTGGCGCACAGAAACGCGGCTCCAGAGCTTTCGTCAAGCAGGACTTGTCACACTTTTTCGACAGCTTGAAACTGGAGGTAGTGCTGCCCTTGCTCGAGCATTACAAGGCGCCGCCGGCTTTGAGCAGGATCGTCAGCGAAGCATATCGCCACTCGCGACGACTTTTCAGAGTGGAGCAGTTCACCTCCTCTGAGTTCGTGACCGTCAACCAAGGTGTGGTTCAGGGCTGTCCGCTCAGTCCGCTGCTGTCTTTGTTGGTGGGACAAGCCTGGGCCTCTTACAGCGTTCTTCACACGCAGGAGATGCAGTCACTTGTGTACATCGACGACCGACTGCTGTGGCCCACGTCGAGGACCTGCGCGGCGGAGGAGTCAATGCGAAGGGCTTTGCAGCGTTCAGACTTCTTTGACGCTGCGTTGGGCCTCCAATGCAAGCCAGAGAAGTGCGCTTTGGCGCATCACCCTCAGCAGACTGAGCTGGTGCCCTTGATGCGACAGCGAGGCTACCCTTGTGAGCACACCCTTGAGTTTCTCGGAGTTCGTTTCGACCTGGAGTCCCTCAGTTGTGTCCCGCTCAAGCTCAACCTCGAGAAAGTTCGGTGGCGACTAAGGTACCTTCGACGACTGGGGGCCCCCTTGGGCCTTCTAAGGCTCCTTGTAACGGCTCTGGTGTCCTCTGCGTTGTTTTGGGCTGGCGGTGTGGCTAAACCTGAGGAGGCGGACTTAAAGCTCGTGGCCAACGAGCTCTGCTCCCTCTTCAAAGGCCATTTCCTCCGCGAAGCTCCGAAAATCTTGATCCATGAGCTTTTGGGTTGGCGGTCGGAGCCTTCGTTTGCTTGCGACATGACGGCTTTTCAGGCTGTTTCGAGACAACTCACGCAGTTTCCAGAGTGGAAGGACCGAGCCCCTTTGACCGAGGCTTTTGAGAACTGGCAGACTGTGTTGCCCTTGGCGGTTCATGCGGTTGCTAGGTTAGGTTGGACTGTCGTCCGCAACGGCCAGGCACTGCAGAGAGTCGACGAACTTGGCAGGTTGCGCACTTTTTCGTTCGGCTGGGAGTCTCTTGAGGTGCTTGAGGACTGGCTGCGCGTGGAGTACCGCCGGGTCTTCATGCGACGCTGCGGACGTGTCAACTGCAGCTACCACATGCAGGCAGGAGGACTTCGCGACCGGCCTCGACTTGCCTGCGCCGGGCGTCCAGGACTTCTACTTCTTGGGCCACCGAAAAGTTTTTGGCTACGCCGCTTCGCAGTCTCAACGGCGGGCTGCTGCTGCCACGGGCGGCTCGGTTTGGTACTGGACAGCGTGACAGCACGTTGACCTCGACGACCCTCGATGTGTCTGTTTGCGTGGTCAAAAAGCACCGTCGAGAGCCCATCTCACGTGGGCCTGTGAAGCCACAGAACAGTGCAGATCCGGCTTGGATGCTCCTGTCCACCGTGCTGAGGAGAGACTGTACGCGCGAGGACTTCCTCAGTGGCCGCCCCCCCCGCTGGGGAGTGATGAGCAGGAGTTCGTTGCTTTCCTGGCTGAGGAAGTACGCCAAGCTGCTGTCGAAGTTGAACAACTCAGTGGAGGCAACTTTGACTTCCAGGACTTCGAGTTGACCGCCCCCGAGGCGTCGGCTGCGCCATGGCTCATCGCGGCGACGGACGGTTCACACCGGGATGGAGTGGGAGCCTACAGCGTTGCCCTACCAGGCGGACGAGGCGGCGGCTCTGGCGACGGTGCTGAAGACCAAGGTGCGTTCAGGAACGAGCTCAAGGCCCTACAAGTGCTCTTCCAGGCGGTGTCTTTGGCGACTCAACGTGGACTGCCACCTCGTGTGCTGTGGGTGGTGGTGGACTGCCAGGCGGCTTTGCTGAGCCTGCGGAACCCGGAGGCGTCGTGTCTCCCTCTACTGGCTTCGAGTGCCGCGGCGAAGAGTAAAGACCTGCAGAGGGCCGGCTGGCAGGTTCGGCCTTTCTGGTGTCCGTCGCACGGGAAGCGCCTTGACTGGAGCGCGCCGGCGTCTTTGTCTTCGGCGCTTTGTCGACTGCTCAACGACGCAGCCGATGAGCATGCGAGATGTACCATGGAGCAGCGCCGTGCTGACTCTTCTCGGGTCAGGTGGCTCACCTTGGCGGCTCAGGCTAGTCAGTGGGAGGAGCGGGCCATTTTGGCGTCTGCAAGGGCGGGAGAGCTTTTTGGTGAAAAGGTGAAGGCGGAAACTTGGAGACTCCGGGCTTCTGCTGCTGCTTCGACCTAGTCGACTCGTCGTTTTGCGTCGCTGCACTTCGGTTGCCGACGACTCCCAGCTGGCTTGTGGAAGGCTGACTGGGGTCGACTTTGTCTTCTTTGGCTAATTGGAGCTTCCAAAAATCCGGTGCAATAACTGGAGCCGCTGAGATCTTGAGACGTCTGAGCTTGGTTACCTCGCTTAGGACTGCATCCTGGTGCGGCTGAGAGCAACTTGTCGGCTGCCTCGTTCCTACTTCGCGGACGCCGTCTACTACCGGCGGCGGCTGTGCGCCTCTTGAGTTCCTGCAACGAGGCCCTCTGAGCAGCCGCGAACTGTAATTAGTTTCGTTTGCAGTGCTCGGCAGTAACAACCTGTTTTCTGCCGCTTTTCCCTGCTCTTGGTCAGGGGTTAGTTGTGGAGCTGAAGCTAAGACTTTAACTCCCTGGGGCCCGTCACTCCGCCTTGCACAGCTTTTCCGGCGCTTGTGATTAGGGGCTGCGTTTTCACAACGACCAGACGTGACTGACAGGACTCTCGGCCTG